GGTATTTTTTCCCAAGAGTCGTGTATGTATGTGTAGCTTCTTTGCGGTTACTACAATTCCAACATCCAAACATCTTTCTAACTTCTTCGAGGAAATTATTGCCTTTTCTTTAGCCCTCCACGCCAACATATAGCGAACATCCACACCTAAATCTGATTTTATATCATCAATAATATTCCTTGGCGTGTATTTCCTCTTATGGTTTGTAAGCTTAGGTTTTATCATACCACCGATAAGGCTGCTACTAGCCTGCCGCTGCTCATACACCTTGTCCTTCAGCGGACATGTATGGTTATCATTAAATTCCCTCACCTTGAATAGTTCTGATTTGTTAATGCTTGAAGCCTTAAACCTTCATTGACAATCTTCTGAAATACATAACAATGCATAGCTGCAAACAATTAACCATTCTACATTATATTAGAGTCACTGTTATGTTTTTATATCAGTAACATAAAATATCATATGTATCAGTAAAACGAGTATGAAAATTTTTGTGAAAATTCATATAGCAATCACATGGCCTTAACAGAAAAGACACATTGAATAGAACCTAAAGAGAACGAGAAGCCATTTCTTCATAAGATGTACAGAATTTATTTACTTTAGCACTGGGAAGTCTATGTTACTACCGCCTTCAGTAACCCAAAAAGCTTTCTTGCTCTTAGTATTTGTTCCTCCAGCAGTTCAGCTTAGAGAAAAATAATGGAACTTTTCTGAAAATTGAAATATCGCAACATGGCAAGTCTCCAAACATCACTGTTGTCTTTTTATATCAGTAACACACATTTCGATACATGTATTTAAGGACCCTTAACACACACATGTTTACTTCAAATGTGATCACGATGTTGAGAATACACAAATACACATAAATACAAAAAGTAATACTTACAGCACCATCTAGTGATTGAAAATTCAATGGAATTTTTTTTTGAATACGTACAAACCTTACAGCATTAGACCTGTCAATCCGGAATTGAAACCTTTGAGCTATAGCATAATTCTCCATCACCTCTTTCAATGTAGCCTTATTCTTATAAACTTGTCCAGCAAAAACCTACTTTTGATCAGTTCTTGAAATTATCAAATCTTTGTGGATTTCGAACACTCCGATCGCTTCACCTGAATTGAAAACATCTAGAGCCATTGTATCATCTGTATCAGACTCGCACCTTTGAACTGCTTCATCTATTAGCACAATATCCCCTTGATTTAAACTGCCTCCGGATATAAGATCTTTTTCGATAGCTGTTATGCATAAAGGATACATCCCAAATTCTCTGTTCTCCTTTTCAATTCTACATATACTCTGTAACCCATATCATTGTGTATTTTCATTGGCGTGGAATTTTCCTCTACTTTGTATTGTATTTTAATCATCTTTGAGCTCAAATCGATGCCCATTTGATTAGAAATTGAAGCAACCAGATTATTAAAGGAGGCATACTCCGTTATCAGTATTCCCTCAATTGAAAAGTCGATGTAATTGCCCTCATCGCTCCACTTGTCAGAATGACGCAACAAATTTGTTAAACATGCCATATGTATGGAGTAGTTATACTTTCGCTTGTATATAATTTGTATCAATCGAAAAGGAGGAGAAGAGAATGGAAGAAAATCGATCAGCTGTTGCTCTGTATTTTAGTTTTTTTTTTTTCACGTTTCTGGGTTTCTTTCTTAGTGCAGAATACGGATTAATGATGGATTATTTGAGTTGAGTAAAATTAGGAGAGAATCGTGTGATTTGATTTCCTTCCGTTTAACCTTTCAGATATTGCGCAGCTACGTTACTACATTTAAGGTTAAATACACTTAAATACAGGTAAATACATATCTACATTAGCTGGCATTCCTGTTGTTACGCCTATTTTTTTGTTGTATTATTGAATACAACATCTTAAATACATGAAATACATTGTATAAAAACATAAATGATATCTATAACACGTAATATAGCAAATTGTATCTATAAATGGCTATTTAGGCCTAAAAGATGGTGCTTTATGAAAAATTCTCTTATTTAATTTACTAATATTAATGACTATAAAACTTATTGGAACATTCAAAAGTTCTAAGTTCAACCTTGAAATAATACCTTAAAAGATAAAATTATGATTTTTTTTTAAAAATATTTATAAATTACATCACAATAAGTATATTTATATATTAAATATATATATATATAATTTCTATATATGTAATATCGGATTGGTTTAGTTTCGGTTTGACTTTCTTTAGTTAAAACCAAACCAAACCAATTATGGTCGGTTTTTTTTTCCAACACCAAACCAAATCAAACCAAACCATAGTCGAATTTTTTTCTTCTCGGTTTGCCTCGAATTATCGGGTTGGTGCGGTTTGTCGATTTTGGTCGTACACCCATACTAAGGATTATGAAAGTTCATTCCAATACAAGATAATTCTTTTTTTTTAAGTTTCTTCCTTTTTTAACTCTCACGGTCTGTCCGTTTCAGCGCATTTCCTTTAGCACATTTTAACCTAACAGTAAATTGAAAGATGACATGATGTCGTGTTACTCTCCGCCTTTCCTGTCACAACTCATAGCCCTAGGGACCAATTAAGAGGTGAAATTATTGATTTGGCAATACAGACCTTTTCCGCACTGGATATTACCTTTTGCCATTTTTTGCAGAATTGAGGACATGAAAGAAATTATAGAAGAATATAGATCAAGAGAAAACAACATAATCTAAATGAACACAAAAATCACCATAACACCTCGGAAAAATAAAAAGAAAAAGGAAAAAAAGGTCAATATACAATACACCACAAATCTGAGTTCCTAATCTTACATATCGTCATTTACATGGAGCCAAAAACCAACCCCACAATACAAACAGGCCGCCACCAATACACAACAGCCATATATCAAACATCAAATGAATAAAATAAAGGGCTATCTATGTCAATCGGAAAATAAAAAAAAATCAGTGATGAAGAAATTAAACACCCACACACCAGAAAACTGAAAACGAATAGCCAAGGCTTAGGTGCATAACGTTACAGGCATGAGCTGCCAATTTCTCCTACAATCATTGGGAATCGGGAGCGGTAGCGGAAGCTGATTCGACAAGTTTTTGTGCCAGAGAGAGTTGATCCATCAACTGGACGACACGTGTCCTGTAAGTCCGAGCCTGATCTACAGCCTCGGCCTCAAGTTCACCGAGCTGGGAGCAAAGTCGCTCCTCAGCCTCCTCCGCCACCCTCAGCCTTTCCCATGTTTTGTGCAATTCCTGCTTCATTTTCTCTTCTCTCTCAATGCTCTTTTTTAATTCATTCTCCAACTCCTCATTTCTTCTTCTGAGCACCTCGCTCTCCGGCACGGCGGAGATGTCACGGTGATGAGGCTTTGTTTGGTTGGAAGGCACAGCAATTGTCGAAAACATGTTGAAAGGAATAGTAGTTGAGAAAATGGTGGAACTATAAAAAAAATTGCTACTATTAAAACTGAGGCAATAGAAACAGAAATGCAAATTGGTGATTAGTTTGTGAGGAATATTGTTAAGTTACAGGAGCCCTATATAGCCCCATAATGAGTATGTCCAGGTTCAATGTATCTAGCGTCCTTCATTTTTGTTTTTGTTTTTTGGGTTTCTAATTTTTGAACCATTAATTAATTAATTCAGGAGCTTATTAGGTCCTGTTACGATCTTACCCATATTATATGCTTTTTACATATTCGTAAATCGTAAATATATTAAAACATCAGAGTTAGAGGAATATGTCTACGCTCAATGTATCTAGCACCCCGAAGCCTTTTGGTTTGTACACAATTTTTTGGGTTTCTAATTTTAAACTATCAATTAATTCAGGGCTTATTAGGTAATATGATAATTTTATCCTTATTATCTGTCTTATAAGATCTTCATACAAATACCAAATCATTAGAATTTGTTTAATTTCTTTTTCCTCTCCCGTAAAAAGTCTGTTAACACTTAAAAAAATAGAAAAAATAAGTGGAGTAAATATGATTCCTTATTTCTCTAAATACTTAGCGGTGGTTTGGACATAAGAATTGTAAAGTTCCAGAATAAAAGTGATTTTTTTTAAAGTGAAAATAATATTTGAAAATTAGAGCTGTGTTTGGACATGAATACAATCTAGAACTGTTTTTGAATTTTTGTGAGTGATTTGAAGTAAATTTTTTTGAAAAACAAATTTTGGAGTTTTCAAATTTTCGAAAAATTTCAAAATTCAATTTCAAGGTGAAATTTGAAATTTTCATGGACAAACACTAATTTCGAAAAAAAAGTAAAAAAAAAAAATTCGAAAAAGTAAAAAATTTCTTATGGCAAAACGGGCCCTTAATATTCTAAACTAAATTAAAATTTTCAAAATAATTAATATTTGGAATGCAGGAAGGGAAGTTTTTTTTTCCAGCGTTACATGACTTGTCTACGTTTTGTTGCGTCATTGGATGTGAAAACAATAAGAAAATGCTAGTGCTCCACCCTTGACTTAAATTTGTCGACTGTTATTTTATGTCATTTTTTAATTGCGATGTTGAGGGTCGGCCGTTTCCTTTCCAGATTTATTTTCCCTATTGCCTCCAATTTATTTTATTTATATTCAGTTACGAAGAAGAAGTAACAAAAGAAGAACACAGAGAAATAGGAATTTCTAGGTATTTGACTTTCATTTTATATGAAATCCACCTCTTTATGTTGCCATCGTCATAGTCGGCATTTTAGATGTCCTTTGGACGACTTCTTGCTAATATTTTGCAAAGAAATGGATTTGGCACTAAGTTGAAGAAAATTTAGACCGTGTAAATAAAAATTAAAACAACAGACCAAAATTTTGGAACTCTAGCTCGGTTGCATTTCAATTCTTGCCCCGTCTCTTGGCTTTCTCAAATCACAGAAATACCCCTTCTTGCTCTTAAAAATAAGAAGCTAAGGTCTGTTAGCTTAGGGACATAAATCACACATCTTCTTCAATCAAACGTCAAATTAAATGTTAATTAAGTTGAAGAAGACGAGGATTAAAACTGGAAAAATGCACTATCATTCGAACCAAAACATTGTTTGTTCCCCCTTTGTCCTATTGATGAACTAAAACAGAAAATAACCAATTGTTCTCTCGATCTATTAAGATTTACTAAGGTACACTTTAACAATAACATTTTAAGGGTTTTTATCTTAAGCAGTTACTAGATCCTATCTGTTGATTAAGAGCCGCATAAGAATTTTTTCACTTTAAATTTCCAATTTTCACTTGAAGATGAATTTTGGAATTTTTTCAAAAATTTGAAAAACTCTAAAAAGCTGTTTTTCAAAATTTTTACTCAGATCGCTCACAAAACTTCAAAAACAACCCAAAATTATATTTATGTCTAAACACAACTCTAATTTTCAAATACCATTTTCACTTAAATTTTTTTTTTTTTTTGAAATTTTACAATTCTTTATGTCCAAATGCCCACTAAACCACCTTTACCTCCAACTGATAAGTATGGTAAAAAAGGATTAGCAAAGGGACTTCAATGCCAAGCAATAATTAGGCATGCAACTAGCTAGAGTAGACCAGACAGAATCATAGTCATTTAATTAGTGAAAAGAAAATGATGTTCTTAAGCAGAGCTTGTCGAGTTCTTATTACATCTGTGTCATCTTCTTTTGTTCGATTTTAAGTTTTATATATTGATGGTATAAAAATATATTTGCATAATCAGCGCATTTAAAAGACAACATAACTGTGCTGCAGGTAATTCTATATAATAAACTTAATTGGCAACATAAAATAAATGTGGTAACTAAGTAACTTAAATCCCTTTTGTAAAGTAACTAACTTGCGAAACACTATAGAGGGAGAAAGCTTTTGACAACTTCCTAATATTCAAGCTCGCCAATAGAGGTAGCAAAATAGTTTAAAAAAAACAGTTATCCATACAAAAATGGATTAGATAATGAACCATTTAAAAACGGATTGAATATGGATAAAGAACCATATTATTCACTTAGAAAATGATTAACCAAATGGATAACCAATGGATAACTAATGTGTTTAAATTTTACATTTGAAAAACCTATTCCTCAAGTTTGGAAGACTAGGAATTCTCTCACTAAGAAGCCATATATAATATGAATATCCATATTATCCGCTAGATAAACATGTTTTCTATCTGTTGGGTCGGTTCGGATAATTTATCCGTTTTGACCCGCTCATATCCGAACCGACCCAACCCGCCCGTTTGACACCCCTACTCGCCAAGAAGGGCCAGGAATTGCTCTTTCCCGTTACCAAAATTCCATATAGCTTTCCATTGAAATCAATAGCAACAATGCGATAGTATATAACGAGCACCATCGCTATTTACTGCCTTTCGTTTCATAACTCACACCAATTAAGAGGTGAAATTATTGTTTTGGCAATACAGACCTTTTCCGCCCGGGCATAAGGTTTACCATTATCGCGGAATTGAGGAGAAGAGAATGGAAGAAAATAGATCAAGAGAAAATAACATAATCTAAAAGTACACAAAATTCCCCAGATTACACCTCTAAAAAAGAAGAGAAGAAGAAAAAGGTCATTATACTCCACAATTCTTAGTTCCTAATGTTACATCGATCTTGTTATTTACATGGAGCCAGAAACCAACCTCACAATAAAAACCGGCCGCCAACAATACACAACAGCCATATATCAAACATCAAATGAATTTTCCAGAAAAAGGCTATCTATGTCAATCGGAAAAAGAAAAAAATCAGTGATGAAGAAATAAAACACCCACACACCAGAAAACTGAAAAGCAACAGCCAATGCTTTCGGTGGATTATGCTCTTCCAATTTCCCCTACGATCATTGGGAATTAGGGACGGTAATGGAAGCTGATTCGAGAAGTTTTTGTGCCAAAGAGAGTTGATCCATCAACTGGACGACATGTGTCCTGTAGGTCCGAGCCTGATCGACAGCCTCGGCCTCAAGTTCACCCAGCTGGGAGCAAAGACGCTCCTCAGCCTCCTCCGCAACCCTTAGCCTTTCCCATGTTTTGTGCAATTCCTGCTTCATTTTCTCTTCTCTCTCAAAGCTCTTTTTCAATTCTTTCTCCAACTCCTCATTTCTTCGCCTGAGTATCTCGCTCTCCGGTACGGTGGAGACCTCACGGTGATGAGGCTTTGTTTGGTTGGAAGGCACAGCAATTGTCGAAAACATATTGAAAGAAATAGTAGTTGAGAAAATGGTGCAACTATAAAATTTGCTATTAACACTGAGGCAATAGAAACAGAAATACAAAGGTGATAAATTTGTGAGGCATATTGTTGAGTTACAGGAGTCCTATATAGCCCCAAAATGCGTATGTCCAGGTTCAATGTATCTGGCACACTCCAGTTTTTTTTGGTTTTCTACTCATTTTTTTGGGTTTCTAATTTTGAACCATCAATTAATTCAGGAGCTTTTTAGGTCCTGTTACGATCTTACCCATATTATATGTTTTTTAAATATTCGTATTAATATCAGAGTTAGAGGAATATGTCTACGCTCAATGTATCTAGCACCCTCAAGCATTTTGGTTCGTCCACAAATTTTTGGGTTTCTAATTTTAAACTATCAATTAATCCAAGGGCTTATTAGGTACTATGATAATTTCATCCTTATAATTGTTTGACTCAAAAGATATCGAAACTTTTTTGAACAAATCAATCAAAGATGAAGGGGTAAATCTTAGTCAGACATAATTAATCCCATATCAAAGAGCTAATGGCATGGATCGTGTATAAGATGAAAGAGATGTAAATGATCTTATTGAAATTCTATATTGTGTCTCCCATCGATCGATGGGAAGATAGCTTTACATATTCCTCTATAGATTGCTTCTTTCCTATCAAGAATGTTAGAAGAGAACTTCGGAGAGAGAAAGGAGGGAGCTCCCTAATCGAAGGTTTTTCCTTACTATATATAGTCAAGGCACCCTTACTCTTTGCTTGGTCCGACGCTCGCCTGCCTCCAATGTGTCTTGGTCGTCCCTTTAGGCGCTGCTCCTTCCGACTTGACGGATGTCGGGAAAAGGGTGCAAAGTGGACTATGTTATCTTTCACTGACCGATTTCTTAGACGGGACATTGATTGGTTCGGTCGTGACGGTCAGATTTTGACCAATATAATAATACTTTCATACAAATACCAAATCATTAGAATTTGTTTAAATTTTTTCCCTCTCCCTTAAAAAGTCTGTTAGCACTCTTCTATTGGAGCAATGAGGATAAAACATAATTGGAGTAATAAATGATTATTTATTTCTCTAAAATGCTTAATATTCTAAAATAAATTTAAGTTTTTAAAATAATTAATATTTGTAATGGAGGAAGGAAGTTTTGTTCCAGCGTGACATGAGTTTTCTAAGTTTTGCTGCGTCATTGGATGCGAAAACAATAAGAAAAAACTAGTGCTCCACCCTTGACCTAAATTTGTGGACTGTTATTTTATGACAGTTTTTAATTGAGTTGTTGAGGGTCGGCCGTGTCCTTACCAGATTTATTTTCCCTATTGCCTCCAATTTATTTTATTTATACTCAGTGATGAAGAAGAAGTAACAAAAGAAGAACACAGAGAAATGGGAATTTCTAGGTATTTGACTTTCATTTTATATAAAATCCACCTCTTTATGTTGCCATCGTCATACTCGGAATTTTAGATGTCCTTTGGACGACTTCTTGTTAATATTTTTCAAAGTAATGGACTTGGAACTAAGTTGAAGAAAATGTAATGTGTGTAATTAGAGTATATTTTTTCCCTGAAAAATAGAAAATAATATAAGAGACCAACAACAATAACGGCCCAGTGTAATCCCACTTGTGAGATCTGGGGAAAGTAGTATGTACGCAGATCTTACCTCTATCCTGAGGGGTAGAAAAGCTGTTTCCAGGAGACTCTCATCTTAAAAAGACAAAAAAATAATATAAGAGACCAAAGTTGCATTTTAATTCTTGCCGGGGCAGATGTAGAGTTTTGTCACAGGGTTCATCTGAACCCAGTACTTTCGACACGAAGTATAAATTTATGTGTAAAAATTCATTAAAATTGCAACAAATGGTAGGTCTGAACCCATAACTTTAAAAATACAATGGATTCAATGTTAAGAACTTTAATATTTGAACCAATAGAATCTAAATCTTAACTTTAATGTTAAGAACTTTAATAGTCTTTTGGCTTTCTCAAACCACAGAAGTACCCCTTCTTGCTCTTAAAAAAAAAAAAAAAAAGCTAAGGCCTGTTAGCTTCAGGGACAGAAATCACACATCTTTTTCAATCAAATGTCAAATTGGATGTTAAGTTGAAGAACACGAAGATTAAAACGGGAAAAGTGCATTATCTTTCGAACCAAAACAATTGTTTGTTACCTTTTTTTTCTACTGATGAAGTAAAATAGAAAATAACCAATTGTGTTCTCTCTATTAAGATTTACTAAGGCTCGCTTTATCAATAGCATTTTAAAAGTTTCTATCTTAAGCAGTTATCCCTATCTGTTGATTAAACCACACCACCTTCACCTCCAACTAGTAAGTATGAGATTCGAGTTAAGGGGTTGAAAAGAAAAACTGGTACTCCTATTTGGTACAAAAGGAACTTCAATACCAAACAAAAATTAGGCATGCAACTAGAGTAGACCAGACAGCCATCATAGTCATTTAATTAGCAAAAAGAAAATGATGTTCTTAAGCAGAGCTTGTCGAGTTCTTATTATGTCTGTGTCTGTCTTCTTTTGTTCGGTTTTAAATTTTGTATACAGACAGTTGATCACACCCAATTATGCTTCCTAAGAGGTTTAGCGGTCGTTGTAAATATAATCCGGTTTACAAGTTCGGAATCGAATTCCACAAGGAATTAACCTACTAATCACAATCACTAGTTTCGCAAAAATTCAAGTAATCAACCTTCAAAAATATTGAATAATGAGTTGATTGTTTACTAACTAAAAGCAAGGTAATTAAAAAGCAGTAATTTTGATACAAACAAAGCAAATATTGTAGACAAGATTGGAAAGGTCTAGGGTTACGATTTCCCCTCTCGTCAGAATCCTCCCCGCCACGTCTCATTTAAATTCGCCTAGATATTCTCTAAATCGTGAGTAATTTAGGTATCGTAATTCTTTTCCGAGCAAATACAACAATTTACTAGACGTATTCTACCGAACTACGCTAGTTGACACTAGTTTAACGCTTACTAAGATCGCACCAAAGTTTCGTTATACTAATCACACCTTTAAACCCTCCGTATCGATCCCTCATATACGTTAGGAGTGATGTTGTTCAACAATTACTTAAATATGTACCTTTTCCAAGTAATACACACTAAATAAGCACAGTCAATTGAGGGCTCTTCAATCAACCATAATAATCATATAGTTGAACAAATAGAGAAAAGTAAATGGCAAATTCATATTAAACGTAGTGAAAAAGTCATACTTCAAGAGGTTCCATCAAACCCTAGATGGAAATTTAGCTCCTCATAATTATTTGCACAAATACAAGATTAGAATTCATAACAATGGAAAATTAGGAAGAAAGAGGAACAAACGTGAAGTTGAATCCTTCTCCTTGCTCCATGCGTGTTCTTACCTCTCCAAAGTCTTCTCTCCCCTCAAAGAGTGGCTAACTTTCATATTTATATGGTATGGGGTTGAGTTGGGCCGAATTGGCTTCTCCTAATTCAGATTGGAAAAGCTGAGTTTTTCTGCTCCGGTCCCGGTCTGGAGAAGTGACCCTCACTTTGCTGTCCGAGACTTTTCTGATTTTTTCTGCTTCGGTCCCGGTCTGGCTAAGTGAACCTTGCAACGCTGTCCGAGGCTTTTCTCTTCAGCTCTTTTTTCACCAATTTTTTCTTCCATTTGATCCTTTTCCGTGCAAGTTTATTCCTACACATAAGAAACACGTAATGAGCATATTTTCACTTCAAAAGTAATGTGAACTCCCGCAAACTCACACACGAAATAACACACAAACATACTCAAAACATGCACTTTTCATCCTTATCACCACCCCACACTTAAACTCTTGTTCATCCTCGAGCAACTTAAAAGTAAGCACATAAGCAAGAAACACCTTTCAAAACATACTCAAGCATCACACCAATGACAATGGTTTATATCAATGCTTAGAACCCATCATATGCACTCTTCATATCTTTCTTCATGTTTTAAACCCAGGCCAAGATCATCTAAAATACTCATGTGGCTCTTTCTAACATCCTCGCCTCAAAACTTGACTCTAATGTATTCTACACTATGACTCACTTCTTGTGCCACTTAAAAATCAAGGTCTCTACCAATCCTTTACAAATCATGTGTCCACATGAACAAACCAAAGAGAGAAAGTAGTCCACACACTCAATATAAGTTCAAGTATAGTTTAAGGACTCAAATATAGAAAGAATTCTCTCACTCTCACAAAGAAACTCTTATGCCACCCAATTTAATACCATATGCTTGCCCTTAGTGTAAGTCTATACTAATTTAAGCGCGTAAAGTCAAGGATCAAGTAGGACTTTATATGTTGTAATGTAGGCTAAGGGAAGGGTAGGATATATTTGAGAAAATAGTGACTAACCCTCCTAAGCTTTTAATACACTACACTTCACTTTTAAGCACCTCCTTGTCATGACTAATTCAATGTCTTGCCATGAAATCATACACATTTAGGCCCTTCTTCATTAAGCACATCAATATATAAATATTTACTAGCCCAGACCTATATGAGAGGTGTTATTCTTTTTTTCCCACTCTCTTCAATTTGGTATTTTCGGCTAGTACTTTTTCTTATTTGTACAAATGTGCACCTTTTCGGCCTTTCTATGGTGGCACTCAAAAGCTACCCACTCTCTTTCTTTACTCTTCTAGTTACTTAAGTGCTTTCGGAGGTAAAGGTTCAACAAAATTTGATTCAGAACAAAAGAGATCTGTCTTGTAATGTGGTTGCCAAAGAAAGGGTCTACAAGCTCAAAAGGGGTGACTACGGATAATATTAGTATTGGTAGGCAAATAGGCTAACTAGTCAATCAAAGAAAGCCTATATCACTTCCCAAACTTACAAGACTTAATCATTTCGCTTTGACTCACACACGGGGCAAGTTCTAGACTTACAAGGATGGCACATAATACAATAAAGTCTCACCTCACACAATGCACATGACTCACTTAGGATGGCTCGGACCAGACACTCGAGTTAAAGCAACTAGCACAATCATCATAAGCTTTCAATACATAGAAATTAATCACAAGATTCTAGAGATGAGCCTCAGTGTCAAAAATAGTTACA